AATATTGTTGACCTACAGGTTCGAATACCCGGGATGTTCATTTCTATAGACAAGTATTACCCCAGTGCTATAACGTATTGATAAGAAATTATCTCTACGAGGTCGTTCCTTTAATACATTGACTCTTAATTTCTGACTCCCAACCGCCCTTAGCACGAATTCCTTACTCTTTCAAAAATACTTAGTTTACTAATAATATATTTTTTTATATCATTCTAATAGGCAGATAGATAGTGGATTCTTAATGTTTAACTTTTCACGGTCCAGAATATTGGAGGTGTGGGGACCACCATTATATTGAAAGACTCTTTAGTTACGGATACTTGTAGTTTGGCAATTATTTATGGGAAGTATCTTTTTATTATTATTTATTTCTCTTTTATTGATGTCTAGGCGGATGCTAAAAGGTCATCGTATAATTAAATAAGGTTCTCTTCCCTTTAGGTTCTGACTGTCCGATCATGTCCCACATTCCTTTAACTGCATTTGATTATGATGTGGTTATTAAAAGGTTTTGGCTTCAAAAGGAGAAGCATTTTTCTGGTGGGATCCTTTGTATTAAACTAAGAGCGACGGCTTAGTACTTGGATACAGACGCTCCCAAGGATTTGCCTATCCATCCTCTAAGAAGTGTTTGCCTTACACGTGAAAGCTTTCTTCGAGTAGTTGGTCTCTTTTCACACGAATTCTTTGAGGAAGCAAACATAACCTTTGAACACACCATTGTTGACATTAGTGATTTTTATTCCATTTTCAGTCCTACACGTTTCCAATATTTTCCTCTAACTTCTTCTTTCCTTTATTAAATTATATTTCTACATGTCCGAAAAGACTTAAAACATGCGGTAGATGGCTTTTTCTTTATCGTCAATTGTACTAAATTTTCTTTGATCCATTTTTTTTTTTGGATTATCGACTTTTCAAAATCTTCTAATTGAGAATATTATATAATAAGTCATTTATTTAAGCTTAAGTCAAAAAAAAAATTTAAAGAGACGATTTTCTCTTTTCTATTTAGATCCGACGTATCAAAAACGAAAGTACTTCTCGAAACACGAATGAAGGTTTATTTATTAAAGTTGAAAGAAATACCTTGTTTAAGTATAAAGTCTAATTACGTGTTATTAGCGTTTATTAATAATTTCATTTAAATACTTCGTGTAGTATTTGTTTATGATAGGGAGCATTCATCAAATAACCGTTCAGAATTATAAAATGCGTGAAACTTGACCGGATATAAATGTTTTCCTGGACACGGCGTAGCTTCGTTTAGGGGGTAGATTGATCAATCATCAATTAATCGGATTCAACAAGTCAAACATTTTTTTCATTATTCCAACTAGAAGGAAAAGTAAGAATGATCAAACTCATTTCTGAATTAATCATTTTATATTTATTTTTTTGTTTTATAAACGGGATATCATGGTTCAAAAAAAAAATTATAGTTTTTTTTTATCATCAACATGAATGTGAACTAATGATGCATTCGCGAAACATTTTTTCTTACCCCTAAAAACGGAAATGATTTTTGATATAAAAACATTTCTAAACCATCATTCGCAATACTTTGAGAAAAAGGGAACCGAAATTTTCCGAAAGGAAAACTCCAGTAAGGAACGGACTGTGAACCGGATCAATACATTAGGAGCGCTTAAAGATTACGCCCCAGTAAGCTTAGATTTATATTAGAAAATTTTTTAACGAAGCAAATAATGGAAAATCTCGGTGCGAAATTTTCGAAATATGAGTTGACCGCTTAAATAGTTAATATACAATTATTTATGATTTTTTTTCTTTTGATTTTACAAAGATGAATCTCTACGTTTTTTTGGCGTCACAACATAAGATCCACAGTTACCATTATTATTTTAGAGAATGAGGTGTGATATGTAAAAATTCCATATATTGAATTTCCAAACATTGGGCCATCATATATGTAAAAGTTATCAATTAGAACACCAAAATGTGGTTTATTATGCGTTTTGGAACTTGGGTCTTGATGACGATGACTTGGAAATAATTCACAAGCAAAAAAATACAGGTCGTGCCTTCCTTAAGACGAGTAATGAAATGTTAGGTGGGTCTGCGACTGTTTTTGTGAATTTTGCTAAGGAGTGTAAGGAGAAAAGTTGAGGTCGTTCTCCTCGTACAAAAAACAGAAAGACTTGAAAGAGGCGCTGTGCAAGTACGGAATCGATACAGTGCGGTACCTTTATACTAAATAATTAGAAAATTCAAATAAATATATTTATCTGATCAATAAAAACAAAAAAAAAATATATGATCTATTTATTACAAGTAATAATTTTATAAAATCACAATTTTATCAGATTATGTAAGCGATATTTGAGCCACTTAGAATTTAAAATCATTAGATCACGTGATTTTAAATTATAAACAAATTAAAAAAATTACAATATATTTATTAATATCTAAATCAAGTTCATTATAAATGCTATCAGAAACACTTCTATGTGATTGTACTTCTTAGCAGTGTAATCCCTTTCTATATGCTATATTTCAAAAACTAGCATATGCTTAATAGTAGAACCAATTTTTTATAAACCAGTATCATAAATTTCACTTATATATCATTTGGCTGCTTTTTAATATATTTTAATATAATTTAATTCACAATGATATTTAGAATAAAAAATACTTTTATAATCACATTTTTTAATTTCTACTTGAAGTTTAGATTTCTGTATTAAAAAATGTGATTATAATAATAAAATACAATATATATAATAATTACACTTTATAAGTTATATACTTTATATTTTTCCTTTTATTATTTACAATTACCAATTAAACCATCTTTTTATAAATCTTTTTCTATTAAAACTTTATATATTCTTTTAGGTTGATTGAATAATTTGGATAATTAAAAGGAAAAATTATATATTTAATTTAATATATATTAAATGTAAGTTATTTACCTCAGGATTTATATTCATAACTATGGTATTTAATTTATTAATTAGTATTGTATCATGGTTAGTACTATTATTAAATATTATTATGATAATTTTTTCAAGATAAATTGTTTTAAATTAAAATTATATAATTAATTATTTAATTAATTAAATGATTTATAATCTATTATTTTCTGCTTTTTTTACTAGATTTTAAATACTTTCTTACTTTTTCTAAAATATTTAAATTTTCTAATTCTTACTTATAAATTAATTTTAATTATCTAATTATTTTAAGTAAGAATTACTAACCATAATTAATTTATCCTATTCCATTTAAAAAAAATGATTTATTAATTAGTATTCAGACAATTAATTAATTATTATTGAAATAAAATAAATATTTATTAAAAGTTATAAGAATATGTAAAGATTTATTATTAGATATTTTTAGATTAATTTATATTATATTATTTTTTATAAAGGTTAGTATCAAGTATTTATACTTTTTCATTTCTTTTAAAAAAATCTTTTAATATTTTAATATATGGAAGGTAAACTATCAAAATTATATTATAGATTATATAATTTATTATGTTTATAATAACAAACCTCCCATTTTATCTTTTTTATATTTATTAAACTTCTTTTTTTATGATAATAATTTGAACCTAATTTTTAAGTTAAATATGACTATTTTAATAGTTTTAAAAATTTTAAAAGTAAAACTAATGCAATTATTTTAATTAATTTAATATTAATATTAAAATTTTTTATTTCATTATAATATTTTTAATTTATAATATAATAAAATATTAAGGTATTTTAAAAATTAAAATAATATATGAAATAGGATTATAAAAAAAATAATAGTTAAATTTAATGATCATATTAATTAAGTTTCTAATATTTTTATATTATTATTTATATATTTAACAAGAATATTAATGAGTATAAATACAATATTCTAATTATAACTAGGAAATGGAAACCGTTGTGAGTCTAAAGCATTTATTACTGTAATGAGAAATTTTTTTAATTAATGTTAACAATAAAATATTTAATAATACTAGTCAACAGTTTAATGGAAACTGTTCAAGACATAATTTTCCAAGAAGATCAAGGATCACCTTCCCTTTCCATAGCAATTCTGATCTTTTTCGATAATTATAAAGGTCCTACAATCACTAGCATAGAGGGTAAAAGAGTTGTACCTATTCCACCAATTTAACATATCTGGAATGGTAAATCCAGAGTTTCTTGTTCATGTTTGCAAATTCCTGTTCATCTTGCGTGGGCAATTATAGTTCATAAAAGTCAAGGTCTTATATTACAAAATGCTGTAATTGATCTTAGGAATAAAGAGTTTGCCGCAGGTCTTTCTTTTGTAGCAATCTCACAAGTACGTACACTTAAAGATCTACTTTTCAAACTATTTAATTTTGAAAGACTTCAGCATATTAAAGAGTGTAAAAGACTACAAAAACAGTTAGACGAAGAAAAACGCTTAGTTTCTATAATACCTAAAACTGAGAACTCAAAATTTCATTATAATAAAATATAAATATAAAAAGTTTTTTATTTTTTTTTTCTATAATTTCTCTCACTCTCGTAATACTGTATGTAATACTTGTAATACTTTATTTTATTTAACGTCATCTTGTTTATTTATAAACTTAGCACAAAATCATGATGTAATGCATGCGGACAATAGAATATCAGCACGTGATTCTATTTGTGATCACTTTTCGTAAACATATATAGTCCTTTGCTATGCTTTAGACAATTAATTATTTAATTTTTGAATTTTATATTAAAATCAATATTTTCAAATATTTATTTTCAAATTATAGAATAAAAAAAAATTATTATATTATTTTTTACACTAAATATAAAAAGTATACTTAAATAATTAATTAAGATAATATTATTTAGATTTAATTTTGATATATACTTTTTATTGTCTGAAGCATAGCGAAGGACTATTTACTGTACTAATTTAATAAAACATGTTTTATTTCCCATTTTTTATCTTTGTCACAATCACGCAATTTTAATTTCTTTTCGAATAATCATCATGATTATGTAATTTTCTTTTTTGAATAACCATCATGATTTATATAACACTTTCTAAAATATATCTCCTGAAATATGCTAAAAAAAACAAATACTAGTTTATGTAACTGTATTAATATAATTTAACGATCTGTCACATTTTTTGTGTTATAAACTAAAATTAATTTTTTATTATACATTATCTCTGTTATAAAAATAAAACGCATGTACACTTCCCGGTCAAAAGTATTAGACCACGTGATTTTCGTTATACTAATTGGCGTAATTTTTGCCGATTATAACTTGTGATCTA